ACCCGTGTGACATTGTATGGTAGTGGGTGAGCCGGTGAGGTTTAGCTTTTAGGTTCATCCTCTCTACAGCTGACTTGGCAATAATGTTCACACAAATACCTCCATCAATCATTAATTTGTAGAACTTATCATCATTCTTGATGTAGGTGTGGAAAATATTAGTTCTCGCCAATCTTCCTCATCTCTAGGTGAGGCTAGTAAGTACCTAATGACATGTAAGTAGACTGTAGCATCTGCTAATGCATTCTTGGTGTCATTTGCACCACTATCAGTAGCATAAATCTTCTCGGTAACCCCAAAGGTATCACCGTCATCCTTGAGACCCTCATAGGATCCATCAATAAATAAATTCCTATTGGGGCACTGGTAAGCAAAGTGTCCAAGTCCTTGACAATTATAGCATTTAGATCCTTTGGATCCTTACTTAGACGACTCACCAGTGACGACTCACCAGTGACGAACTTACCCTTCTGATCTTAAGCAGCAATGTTATTAGATTTAGCATTTTTATTGAATTGACTTAGGTTAGTCTCATATTGGAGATGTGAACTTCCTGTAAGTGGGTATCTTTAAGATAACGCTCTATTTCTAGAGTCAAATGATATGCCTGATCTATAGAAGTCACTAAATGTGGGGCCATCTCATGCTAGATATTAGGTCTTGATCCAGTGCGAAATCAAGAGAGGGCAAACCAAGATTCTTCGTGAACATTACAACGGTAAACTAAGTCGTCGAGCTTGTCCATGTACTCCTTCATGGACAAGTTCCCCTGACGCAATGTGAATAGCTAATCCATCAATCTATCCAGATATGAGGGTGGGAGATAGTTTTTCTTTTAGCTTCTTTTTCATCTCATCTCACGTCGCAATTGGGTCCTAATGTGTCCTAGCTAGCTATCTCTTGACTGGGATCTAATAGATTTTGGCTGACCCTATCAACTTCATCCTAGCAAATCAAATCCTAAAACTCTGGACATATTGTACCGATCAAAGTGGCGGTCCATATCTGCTAATCACTAAACACTTGAGGTTCATGCCTACCATCAAAGGTTGGGGTCTCTATCTTCACTTTCCTAGTGATATCTTCCCTATGTCTAAAACGGATGTTGTCAAGATCGAAATACTCGTCATAATCCCTCTATGGTCTAGCGTTGTGTTGTGTCCCCTAACGTGTTGGGGCCTACCCCCACGATCATCCCTAGTAAGTCTCCTATCTTTTCTATCCTGAAGATCATCCTGATGCTCATGAAATCATCTGTCTAATTGGTCTAGTCGTGCGGTGATCTGATCGTGTCTAGTGTTGATCTTGCATGAATTTGTTTAGAGTCTTGGTGAGTGCGGTGATTTGTGCTTGTGTGCCGTTTTGTGTATCCGCCATAGTGTTCCTAAAGGTCCTAGCGCTGCATGACATGAACAGATCTAGCCTAGGCTCTGATTCCTAATATGACGCAAGATAGGACAAGAGAAAATACTAATGCCAAATGAATCAAGCAATCACTCAGATTTAATCTTGAAAACAACTAAGTGCATGCAACTAGCGACATATGCAAAAGTCTAACATGATCCTAAATATGGGTGCAATCCAATTATATGCATGCAATGATCACTTAAACAAAATCCACATATAGAAAATAGTAGCCAATGATATTCATAAATTGACTACAAGTTCTTTAGTGTTGCAGGAACAAGGTTTAAATGTGTGATTCTAATTATAGATCACCTGAGGGTGCAAGGAACTCACACCAAATCATACAGGAACTGAACCAAGTCTAAAATCAGTGGTTCTCTTGCAATTGAGTGGGGTATCACTATGAGAATAAGAGATCAACTGGTCCCAAGCCTCGGATTTGATTCTGTGTGCACCTGAAAACTACAAGACAACAATCAGATCAGAGGAAGCACCGCTGAAAATTAATTGTTTAGGTAGAATTATAGTGTCTAGTCTCTGATTTAGAAATCTGTTGCTCTTGAACAGCTTCGGGGCTGATTTGTAAGTTTCTGCAAAGGTGGAAGTGGTGAACAATAACCGGAGTTTACTGTTCATGTGTCTGGTGATTAGGATGGTGACTGAGGAGTTTAGTGGAGTTTAGTGGATGGTTAGAAGTGGGGTTATGATTTAAGGGCTGAGAATAAATGACACTTCAATTGAAAAGAGGGGCTTCACATCCATGGCATCACACCATATAGCGATTCACATGTCATTCTAGAAACCGGAAATTCTTATTCAGTCAAGTCTGCCTTCTCTAGAGGCTTACATCCCTTATTTAAAGAAAACAAAAGGCAACAATCTTTCTAAGAAACAAAATAAAAATCCTCATAAAAAGAAAACTAAAAATCGTAACAATCAAATCCAATCCCTGGGAATCTAAATCATTCTCATGACATTCCAATATGATCTCAAAGCATCAACTCAATTTCTGGAAATCTCAAAGCATCAAACTTAGTCTCTGGCAATCTGATTAAGTTGAAGATTCAAGAAATGACACACTTAGGTGTTATTGTAGCTATGTATGGAATATTAACTTAATTTTTCCTTTTAGTAATTAAATTCTAGACACCTCCATTGCTGCTTGTGCAGCTTAACTGACCAAGGTCACAGACTCACAGTTGTAGGACAGGCTAGGTGAACTAACAGCCTTGATGTCATGCATCTTGCACAAAGATGAGGATTTCAGCTAAAGCCTCTGCCTTCTGATATCCTAATTAGTTTTTGTGTACTAACAGCTTTTCGTTCATGAGTTGGTTAGAATATAATGAGAGTAAATAAGTAATGGAAAGTAGGATTTTGATGAACTTGTGTAACTGTCTTTTATGATTTAAACTATAGATTTTGATCCAACAGACTGGTGCTTGAGCTTTTCACCTGGAAGACATGTTGAAAGCCTCAGCTGTGCGTTAACTTTATGACCCTTGTTTTTGCCTTTTATCTCCTTTCATTTTCAGAGACTTTTTAAATATAAAATATTCTTAAGCTTATGTTTTCATACCATAACTCTTGGATTTTGAGCTTCTAAAAGAGGAGAACGTAGTGACATCTTGAAAAAATTAACTTACGAGTATCTGGGAGACATCAATATCTTCAGTTTGTTTGCGGGTATTTGACTGTTATTTCCACTACACTAGAACTCCTTGATTTTGAGCTTCAAAAAGAAGTTGTGGTGAGCGTGAGGGTATTTGATTCTCTTGTTTCCCCTCCCTCGCAAAAGAATTGAACTCGTCAAAGTATCCTTCCAGTACTAAAACTTTGAAGTTGTGTGAAGGTTGCAGGATACAGTTCTATGATCTAACATGCCCCTGCAGCTTGACACCTTTTTATGGGCCAAAACCTAGGCTCATGTAGTGGTATCTTGTTTAAATCCACTTTTAAATTCGTGGGCGATGAGATTTGAATCTTGGGGTTGCTCTGATACTGCTTGAAAACTCCAAAGTTGTGGTTAGGGTTGGGAATTATAATTTTATACTTTGATAAAACTAGTCCATGTGTAGGTGGTAAGTACTTTTGTTATGGATGAAAAATTGCTTGCTTGTGTTAAGTATAAAGAGGAACTAAGGAATTTTCAGTTGCTATGAGCTTTGTAATTTGGACTTTTTGCTTCATTTATGTTAGAGTACAAGATAAACTCCGCAAATTTTTTTTACTTCCTTTATATTAGTACAAAATAAACTTAGTTGCAATACCACGGTATTTGGTGGAAGAGTGTATGTTTATTTTCTTGATGGATATTGTACCTGAAATTACAAGCAAATGCAGACTTATCTAATTTTATTATGTTCCCGGTTTATCAGGATTTCATTTTCCCTTTTTCTTTCTTGGAGAAAAGGCCTTATCCAGACTTGAATACAGAGCGTCCCACTACCTTATCAGCTGGGCTATGCCTCAGGGACAAGTATCACCAGACTATTTAGTCCTACAACCAACGAGTTAGAAGATAGTCCAGTTTGGATGAAAAAGGTTCTAAGGATGCTAGTGTCATAGTGCCACATGTAGTACATCCCATGAAGTCACCCTTCACATCATCACAGTTAATTTTTGTGTTTTGGTTGTGTTCCTACCTCAAAATTGCTATCTATTAATAAATTTTGAGTTTACTGGACTTGCTGTACACCAGCTACCTTCTCCATCAATACACAATGATGTTGGATTAGTCAATCTAAGTGTCAGATGATGGTTCGCTACTGTTAAAACTTTTATAGTCAGACTGGTGTGCTATAGGCCGTGACTCAAAACTCAAAATTTAATGATAAAAAATCCTCCCAGTTTTTGCTACTGGTTATCGCGTGCCCAAATGAACACTCAATGATCATAATAAAAAAATGAACACTTTCTTGGATATGACCAAAATATAAATTAATAATAGCAAATTTACGTGATAATGAACAATGTGAGCTACAACTCTTTTAAAACTTAAAGTGCATTCTGTTATTTACTTGTGGTGATGACTGACTGATGATAATCATATCAAAATGTGCTCTGAAGATTTACTCTTGTATTCTATGATAAAATGACCCTAATCTTTCCGACAGGCTACTCGCAAGGACTATCTGATAGATTTTACATTTTGGAATTAAATCTCTGTCTGATGTTTCTTTGCATGATTGTATGTAGATGCAGTCAGAAGATGTTGCTCTTGTATATGATAAAATAAACCTAGTGTTGTTTTTTAGATAATCTGTTTAAAATTTAAACTAATCTGGAGAGATTATACTTCCAGAGTCGAATCCATTCTGATGTATTCTTTGCATGATCTCGATGTCAAAGTTCAAAATCAAGGCTTAGGAGTATTATTGGCAAATTCATGTTTCATATATTTGAGATACATCTGTTCATGCCAAGACCCTTATGATAATCTTCTCTGCAAGTAATTTGGGTTACTTCCTTTTACCTTATCTTAAATTAATTTTATGCTGGACTTTTGGATTCTTCCACATTGCAGTACAATGATCATCTTAAATGATAAGTTTAAGACAAAAGCATGTAATTATTATATCACCTCTTTGCAGTGCCCAAATGGCCATACGCTTTGCTCAAGCTGCAAGCTTAGAGTACATAATCATTGCCCTACTTGCCGACATGAGCTGGGTGATATCAGATGCTTAGCTCTTGAGAAAGTTGCAGAGTCACTTGAGCTCCCCTGTAGATATCAGAACCTTGGATGTCCTGGAATATTTCCATACTATGGAAAACAAAAGCATGAGCAACTGTGCCAGTTCAGGCCCTACAATTGCCCCTATGCAGGATCTGAGTGCCTTGTCACTGGCGACATTCCAATGCTTGTAGCTCACCTGAAAAATGATCATAAAGTGGACATGCATGATGGGTGCACATTTAATCATCGGTATGTTAAATCTAACCCACATGAGGTCGAGAATGCCACATGGATGCTCACTGTAAGTCACTGATTTAGTTATTGTTGTTACTTTCTTAGCTTTCAGTATAGAGTAGAAAATTTTTGGGACTAAAGGTTTTCTACTGTCACTGAGATAGGGTCTCAGAGCGGACTTCCTGTGTTAAAAACACTCTATTATTGATACATTTTAAGTTTCTAGTATTTTTCTTGCATGAACTTCTTATTTCTGTTAATAGGTGGTTTGTATATATGAGTACTTCTGTGAGAGAATAAGTTAGAACTTCTTATTTCTGTTAATAGGTTGTTTGTATATATGAGTACTTCTGTGAGAGAATAAGTTAGAACGTCACCTTCAAGTCAGTAGTTGCGCTTTGGAATTACGAGTCAGCCACATAGATGGCCTAGGCATATGCCCTTGGAAGAGAGGGGGGAAAGGAAAAAACCATAAAGCAGTTTGTAAAGAGTTCTAAACAAAGAATGTCAATATTTTGCAAATTTTGTTAGCAGGAGAGATGAATTCATAAACTAGTAGTCGACTGCTTACTCTTATAGATTTTTAGAAGTTTGCATCATTTGCTCTCTTTTTTTTCCTCTACCTTATGGATCCTTCATGGATCAAAGTTTAGGTTGGGAACAAGGTTGCCTTGGTGTTTTCTTATGAAAGGGTTTCTAGGATTTCCAGGGACCATTCTACTCTGTATTATTGAACCACACATGCACTTTACTGCAGGTATTTAATTGTTTCGGCCAACACTTTTGTCTCCACTTCGAGGCATTTCTCTTGGGGATGGCTCCTGTGTACATGGCATTTTTGAGATTCATGGGAGAGGAGGATGATGCAAAAAAGTACAGTTACAGCCTGGAAGTAGGTGGAAATGGCCGGAAATTAACATGGCAAGGAGTTCCAAGAAGCATCAGGGATGGACACAAGAAGGTCCGAGATAGTTATGATGGTCTTGTCATTCACAGAAACATGGCCCTCTTCTTTTCTGGTGGAAATCGGCAAGAGCTGAAGCTAAGGGTTACTGGTCGTATTTGGAAAGAACAATGACATTTCGCCTCTCGTCTTAGTTTATATCTGGTTGAATGTTTTTTGGTTTAGTTTGTGAAAGTGCCTTGTTCATTTGAAATGTGAATGTAATTCTGTTGAGATAAAGGTTGCATGATGAGATTCAGTGAAATGAATTAGTTTTATACTTTTATAGCTTGTGTCTTCCATGTATGAAGTATTTGAAACTTGGACTGATGCAAAATTAATAATTGTGAGGCAAAGTCTCCCACTTTGTATTCTAATATCTCCAACTTCATATGATTTCTCTCCGTGTTAAGTTGATTTACTTGAAATTTGAAATTAAAAGCAGTGAAA